TTTTTTTTTTTTTTTTTTTTTTTTTTTTTTTTTTTTTTTTTTTTTTTAAATACTGCTTGTTCTGCTACAGCATAGGGTTTCCTGTTTATTGTTTATTATTGTTTATTAGGGTTTATGAGGGTTTAGGGTTTATGAGGGTTTATGAGGGTTTACCTTATACTCGCATTTTTTTAAAAGTTTTTTTTTCCCAAGAGCATACAAACGAAGTTTATTGCCGACGCCAGCCAACAACATCCCCCGGAAAGGAGAAAAACACTGCGGGATATCTTCTACTGGGGTCTGTATACACACAAAAAAATATATACATTTTTATTTTTATTTATTTATTTAGTTGTTTATTTATTTATTTAGTTGTTTGTTTAGTTGTTTAGTTTTTGTTTTGTTTTTTTTTGTTTAAAAAAGGAGACAAAAAGAAAAAAAAACGAAAAAAAACGAAAAAAGAGAAAAACACTGCGGGATAGCTTCTACGGGGGTCTGTATACACACAAAACATATATTTATTTATTTTTATTTATTTAGTTATTTATTTATTTATATTTATATTTATATTTATATTTATTATTATATTTAAATTTTTTTGTTTTGTTTTATTTTATTTTATTAAACAAAGAGAAAAGAAAACGAAAAAAGGAGACAGAAAAGGAGACAAACACATAGAATATAATATAATATAATATAATATAATATAATATAATATAATATAATATAATATAATATAATATAATATGGAACTGCTAAACCCTAAACCCTAAACCCTAAACCCTAAACCCTAAACCCTAAACCCTACCGAGTGAAGGAACGTCAGGCGGAAGTTTGTGTCGTATGCATACACCTTAATTGATGCTGCTGCTATCTGCACACCAACAGCAGCAGCAGCAGCAGCAGCAGCAGCAACACATGCAGCAGCAGCAGCAGCAGCAGCAGCAGCAGCACAAGCAGCAGCAGCAGATGAACGACGAGCAGGACAACCACAACACCATCACCACCACCACCACAACCATCACCACCACAACCATCACCACCACCACCATCACCACCACCATCCCCCCCATCACCACCACCACCATCAGCAGCAGCAGCAGCAGCAGCAGCAGCAGCAGCAGCAGCAGCAGCAGCAGCAGCACTATACTTTTTTCGGTGATAGAGTCATGGCGGTGACAGTGCCAACGATGAGCAGCGGGAGGCCTTCAAATTCGCAGCAGCAGCAGCTTATTGCTGCTTCGTCTGTCTCGAAGCTTAGCTTCTCTATTGTTGTTGCCTGCAGCAGCAGCAGCAGCAGCAGCAGCAGCAGATGCAGCAGCAGAAAATGCAGCAGCAGCAGCAGCAGCAACACAAGCAGCAGCAACACCAACGCCAACACCAACACCAGCAGCAGCAGCAGCACCACCACCACCACCAGCACCACCACCACCACCACAAGCACCACCAGCAGC